CTAGACCTTTACTCAAAAATGACCTTCTCAAGTGAAACAACCTCCGGACGGCTCAAATCTAGCCAAAATAACTTCAAATCATAAATAAAACTCATAGGAAATAATTTTGGATAATAAAGCTTCAATTTTTAACAAAAACTAAAAGGTCAACCCAAAATTCAACCCTGGGTCCGCACCTCGAAACCCAACAAAATGTAAAAAATTCGGACACCCATTCCGATACGAGTTCAACCATATCAAAATTATCAATTTCCGACATTGAATCGCCCTTCAAATCCTCATTTCACATTTTGAAAGATTTTTACAAAAGTTCCCATCTTCTTCCATTAAATTCACTATTTTTATGATATAAATAAGTATGAAAGCATGAAATGTAATCAATTTCGGATTTGGAACACTTACCCCAATCGAACACGCGAAGGACCCCTCAAAAATCGTTCAAATACGAGGTCTACAACTCAAAATATATTAAAAATGGTGAAAGCCCCCTTTTTAGAAACCTCTCCAAGCAAGTCGCATTTGACACATAGATTTATAAATCGCATTTCACAGCTGAGACTTATAAATCGCATTTCTCACCTAAGACTTATAAATCGCATTTTACACCTGCGATTTGCCTCAGTTCCCTTAAACACCAAAAAAAGACAACAGTCTTTCCCGATACGGAAATGGGCATAACTCTCTCATACGACCTTGGGATGCGACGATTCTTGTTGCTATGGTTCCTTAATTATGATACGGATCTGATGGCTCAATTGAATCATAAATCAATGGTCTTTTATACAATGTGGTACCCTTTATGCCAAATGAAACTACGCCAAAACATCAAATAAGAGTGCGGCACAATCCAAACCCATCCAAAACTCATCCGAGCGCTATGGGACCCCAACCAAGTATAATAACATGTCCCAAAATATGATATGAACTTGCCCGAAGCCTCAAATTGCCTTTAACAACAATAGAATTACGAATCGTGCATCGGTTCAAGCCTAAGAAACTTATGAACTTCCGAATTCCAAAACTAATGTCGATCCATACCAAACCAATTCCGATTGACTTCAAATTTTGCACAGAAATCATAAATGACAGCACGGACCTATTTCAACTTCTGAAATTGGGATCCGACCCCAACATCAATAAAATCAACTCCCAGTCAAACTTTCCAAAATCTTCCATTTTTTTAACTTTCGCCAATTCATGCCGAACCGACCTACGAACCTCTAAATCAACATCCGGACACGCTCTTAGGACCAGAATCACTATATAGAGCTATTGGAACCATCACAATATCATTTCAAAATCGTCTACACAAAAGTCAAACTCCGGTCAACTCTTACCGCTTAAGCTTCTAAAACAAGAATCCTTCTTCCAAATCAATCCTGAATCATCTGATATCCGAACTCGACCACGCACGCACATCATAACACATAATACGAAGCTTTTCGAGACCTTAAGCCACCGAACGGGATGCTAATCCTCAAAACGACTTGTCGGATCGTTACATATAAGTAGTTGGTTTAGCTAATTTTATGGCAAAAGATGGTTACTGTCTGCTCCTAATTGACTCATGTTAGCTAGGATCCTCGGAGATAAAGGTTTTATGTTCCCCTCCTTGTTGTACTAACTTCCTCTTGAGCTATCACTCCCTCCGGTTCACAATAAGTGACCAATTTGCTTTTGGCACACCCATTAAAGGAAATACTAAATTGTAGACGAAAATAGTTAGTGTGACTAAACTACCCTTCATTAAATATTACACCATAGTTATAGTAGTACTTACTTCTCTTCTCAAATGTGAGGAGTAAATGACTTTTTAGGGATACGTACATAAGGGTAATTTTGAAAAAATAAATTGAATTTTTTCTTGATTATATAAATGGATACTTATTTTGGACCAAAATAAATAGCAAATTGGTCACGTATTATGAATCGAAGGGAGTAATAACATACGAGATAGGGGTGAAAGACAAACCCATAACCACTACGGGAGATGAAAATCTAGGTGGATGGATTGAAGAAAAAAAGGAGAAGCTCGGTAAGTACCAGTCACTTGGAGTACTTAGTTCATTTTGCGTGAAATCAATAATATGACTATTGCTGGGTATCGTAGTAGCAAGCTATTTCAGACAAATACAAAAATGAAGTTAGTTAAGTTACAGTGAAGACAGTCAAAATTGTTGGGAAAAAGTAATATTCCGCTACGGATAATATCAATGGTAAATAATAATAACACAAGAGAGTAACAATGACACCAAATCTTGAGTGTCTTAACTTGAACCTCATCACTACTCCACCGAGATTAGTCTTGATACTTATTGGGTATCGATTGTGATGTACTCATACTATGCTTTTTACATTTTTGTGCAGATCTAGGTACCTCAAATCGTGTTGGTTGCTAGAGTTTGAGTTGCATTGCGGAGACTTCAAGGAATATATGTTGTCCCGCTCACAGGCCTCGGAGTCACCTTTTATGGTTCCTTGCTACTGTTTATTGTATTCCAAACAGCATTGTATTTTAGAGATTTCTAGCATACTCTCTATAAAGCTTATGACTCCGTACTACCGGTTTTGGGATGTATGACTATTGTATTCCGCTATTGGTTTTGTTATGACATTTTTCAGATTTTAATAGTAAAGTGGTTTAATTATATTGATCTCATCATGTGTTAAGCTTACTTAGTCTTAGAGAATAGGTGCCATCACGATCCTTAAGGTGAGATTTTGGATCATGACATTGAATCGCAAATTTAAACTAGAGCATAAGATGTAAAGAAATTCAATATCAAATTCCTCTTTCGATTAAGCAAAATAATGAACAACTTCACAATATAATTCAAAACTTCATCTATTAAGTCAAGCGATTGTCAAGAATCGAATCGTTACTCAAATTATGAATACACCATGGCTGTCAACACCCTAAGGAAAAACTACTCCATAGCAATGGAAAAGGTCATCTAAAAAAAGGTTTAAAGACATAAAAAAACGTCAATGTTAATGATTCGATACAAACTCCCCTATTGCACCGATTGTTTGTTGAAATCTTGATGAAATCTCGTGTCTTCTTGCATTAGTTGCTCCTCAAATCGTCCTTCATAGGTCAAAGGTCCTCCCAAAATCACATTTTTGGCGTATTTATACCATGTAGAAGCGGGTCCGCACGGAACTACCATTTCCAAGCTGAAGTGGGAAAACACTCTGACAAAATTGAACAGGTACGATGCAGGGCATGGCTCCCGGCGCGGCGCGCCAATGGAGAAGTTCAGAGAGCAGGTTTTAGCAGAGATCTTCAATTGCACTGCCGCATCGTGCCTCATGGCGCCCCATGTGGCACGATAGGTTTTTTTCTCGGAGTGATATTTTTTTTTCTCATTTTTTTGTTATCCAGACTTGGTCATCGGCCCCTGAACGCGATCCTGGTTTAAATCTTGGGCTTTTACTCAGACTTCAAAGCTCCAAATTGTTCGATTCAGCTCCAATTTATCTTCTTGACTCGAAATCATTTCCTTCAAGGCATAAAACACATAATAAATGCAAATCACGATCATTTAAGCTTAAACACAAGTAAAGTACAGTAATTAGAGTAGAAAATACGGCTAAAATATAGGTTTCTAGCCTACCATCAATACTCCAGGCCTAATTCAAATCTGATTTTCTAAAACTATTTTTATATTTTTAGCTTATCAGAATGCAACTAAATATATGGTTATCTGAATATATCAAAATTCTCTTTGTATTAAATTCTTGTAACATAACTGCTCTGGATTAAAATTCTTTTTTGTATCAGTCCACATCTTGGTCTATAAAAGGCGGTGCTCTTTGTGAATTATCAAATACAGAAATATTCTTCTCTCTTTCTCTTGTTCAATTCTACTATTTCTTCAAAATTGTATTTGTCCAAACTTCCAGTCATGACTGCACATATTTAGGAGTATTGTGGGACTTTGAGGAGAAACCAGTCTAGACAATCTAGTCGGACCAAAATCGTTTTCAAGACAGCGACTTGCCACGATACAGTATTTGTTTCATTAGTTGTTATTTGTCGATATACTTAGTTATTTTTCCAACACTCTCAATATAATGTATAACCTAATTAAAACAACATGGGGAAGCATATGTTAAGCAATTAACATACATGAAAAGTTTACTAAGAGCACCCAAGAAAGCTCACAAGCGTGTGGAGTAGTTCTAGGAGTCACCTCGGCATCAGGAGATTGAGTGCATGCAAATTAAAAACTCCAAGAAAAATTAACTGGACTTCAAATGAATATTAAGAAGTTTTTCCTCCTTGAACATGAGCTGAAAGCCTTTGAAATACCTCATATAGACGACGACGACAACAACATTAACGACCCAGTGCAATCCCACTAGAAATACCGCTTGAATATACTTACCACATTGCAAGAAGAGGTGGAGCTAATTTGGAACCAAGCATCGAGATTGAAAAACAGATTTCAGGCTCTAATGCACCTTTCTCTGACTTCACTGTATTAGACGGATATAGAATTTTAAGTTTATGGTTTCTACAACATCTCAATTTAATATATAATAATTGTGGAATTTACGATGACATATTGTCCATATTTAATGAATTACTTAATAATGTACAGGGTATGAGTAAAAGTTACTGGATTCACATGAACATTTAGGTTATGCTTTAGATCCGCCCATTAGTTCTTTGTTGGATTGCTTGATCTTCATAAGGTAATCAATTTGTTGTTAACGATGGCATTTATTTGCTCACCTGAAAATTGTTATCTGAGCAAATTCCATCAAAAGCAAGTGCCCATCCCAATTACCTCTTAAATCAATGGCTCATGCCCTAAACATGTCCACAAGATCAAGAAAGCTCACTTTCAGACTGACCATTTTCAAACATCGAGCTTAAATCAACTCAGGTGCCAAGTGCCTGCCTTCTAGAATGCCCTCAAAAAGTGCATAAAAATTATGAACTCGATAAAATCAATATATATATATATATACATACCATTTGGAAACACAAATAAGTATAAAATCACTTTTATTGAGACTATCATACTAATTGCATAAGAATACATAGTTTCTGTGTAGCGCACCGCAACATACAATTTTATGCTAAGGTACCCTTCCCTTATTGTGAAATATTTAATAAATCAATACAAACTTCTTTCCTTCTATATTTTCTATATTTCCCTTTGGGAGTTTCTGATTTTCCACATCAGTGATCTCAAAGAATTACTTCTATCAATGATTTACATATCAATATCAAAAGGATAGACATTTGGATCAAAAACACGGTTGTGACAAGTTTTATCACAAGGGTAAGGGCAATCAATCTTCTGGAATGGATTTTTGTCGAAGAACCAGTCTCCGAGTGCTTTGGCAATTGTCTGCAGAAGAGAGATTTTTAGCGCAGTCAGTGGTTCTCCACGATAGGACACTGAGAATGAATGGTCTACGACGACAACAAGTAAAAACAAAGAACTTTTACATGTCAATAACCGGAATGTGAAATGAACAAGTTAGAGTTCAGCTAATCGCTTACCTTGTTAGCCAACTTAGGAGAGTCAGGCCTGAACCATGTTTCTTGAACTTCAGTTTGACAGTGTGCATAGCAAGAGTTGATAAAATACCCTCTTGATGAAGAAGGGCCAAGTGCATATAATGCTCTCAGAAACCTCAATCTAAAACCTGCGGAATGAGTCTAACTGTCAAACATCATGAACAAAAAGCTCTTCATGAAATGTATTTTTTCGAGCGTTCTGCAGTTCATGAGGTGTCATTTCTATTTTAGAATGAAAGCATTGACAGCATAAAGGTATTGAGGGCTTAGAGTCTTGACCTTGCATAGTTTGAAGCTGCTTGGAAGAGCATCTCAGTATGTCAAGTTTGCAGTTGCGCCAGACCCCATGGGGATCAGCAATACCAGGAGCCAAAATGTTCTTTATCTGAATTCAAATAATATTAAGTCAGGATGAGCAAGTAACTCCACTCTGTTTTATACTGACATTTACTGGTATTTATGTCGTACTAAGTTAGCGGATGAACAAATGAAGTTTTTCTTTGCACTCTGTTTATGTTGGAAGCTAGAACTCCAAGGTTATTCCAAATTCGACAATCAGAAATCTTTTAGCTGTATGCAGATACTAAAGTCCAACAATGTACATGATTTCTTGAGCAGAAGAGTACATAATGGCAAATCAATTAAATTGTTTGCATTCCTTAAAAGTGGAATGTAGAATGTGACTTGTTCCATTCAGTTGTTATTTATGTTTCTCTCCACCGTCTTGGAATAATCACACATGGAAAGCAGTTTTGGTCTATTCTTTTAGTACAAGGGAGCTAACTTGTCTCATGTCTTAGGCAATCTGCTCAGTTCAGAATCTCCACATCAAGCATAGGAACTTTAAATTACTACATCAGTATCCAAAAGCATGATGACCTACTCAAACATCATATCTACCTCTAACAGTTTTAGGTGAGGTATTGTATCATTTAACTAATAATACATCACAACAACACAGAAAGGCGATGATCTCAAGATCTAATGAAGGAAAAAAGCCAAAAATAGCAGACAAATAAAGTTTCAGAAATGCTCTTACCTGCCAGGAATCATAGGCTGCATTAACTAGAAAAAGTGGTGTCCGCACGTGTTGAACAACATTTTGCGGGAAAAAACACTGCAAGATTATTGGATTATTAGCATAACATAAACTAAAGTAAAAGACACAACAAATATTATGAAAGTAACTGCTCTTACCAAATTTGGTTTCAATCTTGACGTACATGATGGCGGCAGATTCTTGGCAGAACCCTGAAGCCAAAATAAGGTAAATGAAAATGAAATTTTTGTAAAATTTCTCCATTGACTTTACTATTTCTTCTTTTTCTAGGCACAATTACTGTTGGAAAATTGAAGTTCCTTGAAAATGAGATAAAAATTTACAGATTTTCAACATTTTTGTCACCAAACAGAAAAGAAAAAAGAAAAGAAAAGGATGACTTAACATTGTACAGGATGTTCGCATTATAAATAAGATGGAGTCAAGGCTGGCCAAACCAGGGGTTAACCACAATTGGCAGTGGCATATCCAGCAGATGAAAGAAATAAAATGCAGGGCTAATGGAACTCTCATGAGAAGGATGTTAAAAGAAGCATACATGTAATCGGACAACATCTCCAAAGAACTCTTCAATATGAGGCGCACCAGAAATATCTTTCCTGCAATAAAGTGGAGAATTTTAGTTAAAATTCTTGAAAGTCTTGAGAACACCGGGATATTACTATACTATAGGATAGCTTACACATTGATAAAATAACCAGCATCTGAAAAACACTTTACTTTAGCACCCATTGGTAGGAGCGCCTTGAAGCTGTCACAATGTAAAATTGAAGTCAATCCGCCAGCTGAACATCCAGACAGAATAGCCTACCATTAGAACTTGATTTGTGAGCCAGTAAACAACAGTAGAGTATTGTCTAAGAATCTGAGAAAGAGAGAAAAGAGGCATAAAAGGCTGTACATTTTCAGCGTTCTTCATTCCCTTTGCCAACAAATCCTCCATAACAGCAAGAAAAACTCTTGCCCCTCTGAAGTGAAGTTTATTAATCTGATATTATTAAGGATGCTCATCAGAATCACCAAAATAAGTCAAGTGGAGGATTTTAACCTCCGTGATATTTTTATGAGATCCTGAGAGAATCGTAGTTTTGGACGAATCAAGAGTTTCAGTGTTAACTTAAAATTACCGGATTGACTGCTTGAACATCACCGGTGAAGGATGATCCATCGCAATACCTAACCTTCACTCTGTTCCAGTTATAGAAGTCTACAATTTCAAACAAGATGTAACACTATTGTTCAGATAGGAAAATTATTATTCATGAGAGCCATCAATATAAAAACAGGTGAAGCTCTACCTGGATTAAACTGAGGCTTGTTGCTTAGAATTCCCGAGAACGCAAGTTGTTTTACCATCTGTTTGGACGATCCCAAGCGAGTATTCTTACGAGAAAGGCAAGTGGTGACATTATTGCACCAACCTCCTCCCTGAAAATAGAATTTTTCAATGTTGAAAATAGATATCAAATACATCTTTGTCCTCCCAACATTCACTTGAGATATTTTAACACTTTTCTCCAAAATAGCATTCTTCATAGTCGTACCCTTAGCAACATGGTTGGTAAATGTTATTCAGATCATAAAACCTCATAATCATATTATAAGTATTCCCTTAGATTTGTATGCATCATTTGCTCCTTTTTTTTTCCACTAATCACTAGCGAAAACTCTATCATGTTGATTAATTGTGAAAATCCAATAATTGACTTGGGACATAAGTTGCTCAAAATCTTCAAAAATGCCGGTTGCGTGTCACATATTCCAAAATTAGTGCATACTTGGAAGATGTGACACAAGTGCGACAGCATTTTTGAAGAGTTCGAGTAACATAGTTATCTAACTAACTTGTGGTCATATAAAATGTGCAAACTGAAACAAAATTATAGTGGGTATACAAACCTCCATCTGGATTAACCAACTATTAACCCCTGTACCAAATCCTTTGTCATGATGATACGCAGGTGGACTCCCATCCAAACATACTGCAAACACACCAATAGTGGCATCAAAAATTCAACACATTTCCACATTCATAGTCTCTGTTTAATTTGAAACCAAAAGGAAAACAAAAAATTCTGACCTGCTCCTTTTGCCACCCCACTCAGAAGGTAAGTAATATTAACAAACAGCCCTTCAGTTCTAAAAATCATCGACATAGTAAGTAATGAATATATCCATTGTTGCACTTTCACACTCCCATTTACCATTCTGCAAATCATTTTATTTAAACAAAAAATATTACTATCAACGAAATGCACAAGATTGTAAGCGAACTACATAATCACAAATAAGTACTGGAGTACTAGTTTTAAGGTATTAACACTTCCCAATTAGAGAAAGATTAAAACTTTATACAAATTAATGTGTTTTCCCATATTTAGTATCAAGATTAATGCCATTCAGAAAGAAAACAAAAACCATGATAGAGAAAGTGTCATTAACTAATACTACTAAAACCCTTTTAAACTCAGATTTGAAGATAAGTACCTGAAAATGGCAATGAAGAGATTGAGAAAATCTCTAAAATGGGATTACTTGGAACGAAATTTTACGCTGAACCCAGTTCAGTGTTCTTATTTATGGAGCTAAAATAAGCTCCAACACCAAATGTTGGTGTATAAACTAAAAGCTATATATTATAAATGTAAAAAGGAGAAAAGAATCCAAGAAAATATATACATGATCCAAGTCCTTAATGCCAGTAGCTTTTTTGTTTGTAAGAAGGAAAAGGTTTTTATAGAAGTGAATTCGCAAACGCAGAACCCAAGAAATAAAGAAGCAGCCGACACTTATTCGCTGAGAAATTTTAGAAGTGATTTTTATATCTCTTAGGAGTATTTTTTTAATATACTTAATATAATTGTTTTTGTTCGAGTGGCTGTTTTCTATTGGCTGCTGTGACAACAGACATGCTTCTTGGTAAGATTTGGTATGACCCGACCCGAGTGATATTTGCAAACGCCTGTAACGAATCTTATCGTTTTACGCGCTACACATTGAATAAATCCGAATGACAGTTGAGGAGCGAGATCGAGAGAAAAGTCAAGTTTTCTTGCTTTTTATTTTTTCTTTAATTTCTTTAGCGTAATTACATGTATATTGTTAAAGCAACCTTTTTATTCATTCGAAAATTTTTTTTAAATCAGGAAAACAAGAATATTTTTTAAAACACCCATTTTAGTTAGAACTCTAAAATACCTTTTCTATTATATTTTGTAAAACGTCATCCATATGACAGTGTAATTAGAGGCGGAGTTGCAATTTAATGTTTATGAATCTTACTTGTTATTGAACAGATAGCTATTGAATTTGCAATTATTTTAATAAATTGTCTAATATAAACACAGAACTAAGCAAAAATTAATGAGTTTGTTCGAATCGTGTCATAAAGCTGAATGATAATTCAGAGAAATGAGCATTACAAAAAAATGGAGAGAGTAGTCGAATCCTCATTTTGCAAGTAAACTAACATCTGAAATAAAAATGAAAAGTTTTTTTTTTTATTTCTCGCCCGGTATCCGGTATCCACATTGGGTCCCGACTAATCCGGATTCGCGCCGGAAAGTCACACATTGGGAGTAAAGTGCTCTCTAACAAAGGCGACTCCATACCCAGGGGCTCGAACTCGAGACCTCTGGTTAAGGATGAAGGAATACTTTTCTGGTAGCCTCTTGCTCTTTCGGCAAACTTTTTTCACCAAACTGAGCCGAAATGAGAAAGTATATCACTTCGAATTCTCTTTCACCAACGACTGGCAATAATTTATTGTATTTCATTCAAGTGAGTAAACCAAACATTTCCGTTACATTCTAACTTCGACGGGTTCATCTTCTCCCATTTCTTCAATTAGACTTTCTAATTATTTTAATGTTTAATATTTAAAAATAAAAATGTGGATCATTTAATCATAATTAATAATTACTTTAAACTTTGCCCCTAGGTTGGTGCCCATGTTTGTTGAGAGGAAGATAGATGGACACGAGAATGGCGGTGATCAATTAAGGCAAAAGATATATAGCATAAATACACTTGAGAGTTAAGAGGTCACCTGTCACTCACCTAGAGGAGGACCCTTTTAGGTGCATCCCCTTTTCGGCGCGTATATTTCACGACGAGATTTAAGAAATGTTGTTTATTGTCAAAGAAAGAATACCTTTTTTTTTTTTTCCTTTTGGGGGTTCCTTTGCTCACTGTTGCCAAACCATAAAGACAATTCCCTTGTTTTATTTACGTTTTCACCTTTTTAATGCTTTGGAAAGGGTGGGTCGAGCAGTGTGCCCAAGGTGTTTTGTTGTCTCGTTTTGATGCAGCCTTTGTCATTTGTAAATTGCATGTGAAATAAATGATTAGTTTAAGGGCTTTTTCATCTCCAACAATTGCTAGGAATTCTAATTGCTAAGTTAAGAATAAAAGTTGATTATTTTTATTTCAAACATGGGTGGTTCGAACATAAGGCCAATAAAGCAATCACTTGAGGCCTCAATTTTTTGGAGGCCCCGTTTTTCCTTTAAAGGTGTATTGTATATGTATTATTAAAAAAAATTGTGTACACTTAAATTTAAAAAGAATTTTTGAAGCGAAAGTACAATAACTTTAATGTGAGGATTGTTGTAATAATTAGAGAATTGAATAATTTTTAATGAATCGTTTCCTTACATAAGTAAGGTAGCTTTTTTTTGCCTCATTTATATCCTAACAATTTGTTGGGTGTGCGAACAAAGTCCCACATTGGTAGCTGAAAAGATTGGGAGTCTACATATAAGGTGTAGAGATCTCTTAAGGAATTTTTACCTCCTATAGCAAAGGTTAACACCTTATTTATTTAAAATAAATACCATTTAAATAAATTATATTCTATAGATACCTTTTATGGTTTATAGCAAAATTTCTAATTTTGGTTATCTCCTACACTTAAGCCACTAAAGACGCCATGTTTCATTTTTCTCTCTCCCTTCTCAGACTTTTCTCTCTCATAGTTACTGTTTTTCATACAACTTCTCAATACACGTTCATCTTCTCTCTATTTTAATACAATCTATTTTCTTTCCCATTCCTTGTAAACACGCTCAAAACCAGAGAGACCTCCTCACCCACACCGTTGCTTTCTCCTTCAAAAATCTCAGCGTAAACCCTAATCTCCTCTAGATTTTACTCATTTGTTTCTATAATTAGTGTGGTAAGTATTTAATTTTTTTGATTTTCGCTATTTTTGCTTATTCTCAACATCTCTACTCACCAAATTTTCTCTAATCAACAGTATCCAAGCGTATTCTTACAATGTCTGAGAATACACCCCGCAAGTTGATTACTAGAGGTATACCCACTAAAATTCTCAATTCGATGGGCCCTCTTTATCCTTGCAAATCAGTCAAGGGGAATTAGATGCAGGTTTAGCCAAAAATATGGCATTGGAGAAGAGGACAAAATCTCAACATGACAATTTCAAAGAAACCCAAGTCGAGAAATCATTGAAGGAAACAAGACTTCCCATTGCGGAAAAGAGGAAAAAACATATTTCTGAAGCTTCATCTGTCAAGGGGAAGGAGGTTGAAGCAAGTAAAAGCTCGGATAAAAAGGTAATTTTTGATGTATTCATCTGTATTATTGATGTATTCATCTGTATTTATATGTATAAACCTGTTGAATTCTCTGTTAAAAAAGGATATTCAATGTATTTTTGTACTTATAGAAATTAATGATACAGATATGTATTCTGATGTATTCTTATAGTTGTATTTATAATGATTTTCAAAGTTCCCATCACTGTTTTATTCTAATTGCAATGTCTTTATTTGTTGTATGCGTATGTATTATATTAGTACGTATATTTCTATCACTGATATCTTACTCCAGTTTATTTTTGCAGTCTGTATTTAGTTGTATTCATATGTATTCATGTCAGTTATACTATGAAATATGTGTTGTATTCAGTTGTATTTATATGTATTTATTCTTGTTAAATGCAGGGAATTAAGCTGTTTGTGAAAAAACAACCTGTATTTGCACTGTATATCAGTGTATATACTATACTGACATAGTCTCCGAGCTAAAAGAAAATCTTACTCCAGAGCCGTACAAACAACTGGGTAATACTTGTTTTGGAAATTTCCTTCAAATGAAGCATTGTGAAGTTCAACATCAACTCTTCAGATGCTTCATGGCTCTCCAGTTAGAAGGAAGTCCTAACAATGTATTTGCAATACACGTCAATGGTACTTCATTATCTTTCTCAATAAGGGAGTTTGCGCTTGTGACTGGCCTCAAATGTGTTGGTAACCATGCTAATTTTGAGTTCAATGAAAAGGTTCCTAACCGGATTATTGAGACTTACTTTGGAGGTGCCAATCTTGTCAAAAAGAAAGATTTGATGGAATGCTTTGCTGACAAGAATTGGGGTCACGACAATGATGGGGATGCCTTAAAGATAGCTGTGTTGTATTTAATACACACTTTCATTTTTTCATCCGAGAAGAACAGCACAACCATCCCAAGGCTACATTTTGACTTGGTCGAGAGTGGGCGCTATTCTGAATATCCATGGGGCATAAAAGCATTTGAAAGCCTGACAAAATCTATTAGCAAGAAGATGGATGCTCAGAAGAAGTGCTACAGGATAGCTGGTATGCCTCTAGCTATGCAAGTGTGGTTTTATGAGTGTTGTTCAAATGTTGATCCCAAAAATGCACTCCGAGTTGATAACGTGGTCCCTAGAATACTCAATTGGAGATCCACCGGAAATCAGCCAAACTTTGCTTATCTGATGAACGGCATGTTCAATGACAAGGGAAAAATGGTAATTTACAATTTATATCCTGGCTAGTTTACGATTTACTAATCATTAATGCTGCATACATTTGCATACAGTTATTGCTGCATACAGCTGCATACAGTTGAATACAGTTGTTGCTGCCTTCATTAGTATTGCGCATATTTCATTAACTAAACCTTGAATACAGTTGTTGTTGCCTTCATTAATACAGTTGAATACAGTTGCATATAATTTACTAATCATTACTGCTGCCTTCATTTGAATACACATTACATTTTGATTCCAGATTTGCATACATCCATTGTAGTAAGACTTTGATTGTATTTCGTTTTTTAATTATTTACAAGGACATCCATCCAACCGATATTAGAGCTTGCCGTTATTCAGATTCCTCCAGTAGGCGTTGCTGTTGAGAACAGTCCTACTCCTACTCATTCAGACAAGTCGGCCAGAGGATTCGGATGACTTTTTTCCACACCTGATCTCAGTAGTAAGAAGAACATGCTGCAAGTGTTGGTCCATCTTCATCACCGCCCCATAAAAAGCGCAAGGAACAGATTATTCATCCCTCAAATACAGAGAATCAATCCAAGATTCCTCCTGTTGGTGTATCTGAAATTGCACAAAATGTTTTGCATCACAATCAGCTGGCAGATTCCAAAAATGATGAAGTATCTTCTTTGAGGAAAGACCTAAATTCATTCAAAGAATACGTGAGTTTTTTATCCACACATTAAACATTACAGTTTAGTGCTTAACATTCGTATATTTTTGGCGCACTTTTCTAATTATTTCTGTCTTGCTAAGGTTGTGGGCGAGTTCAAGTCTCTGAGATCATTGATCAATGATAACTTTAAGATGCTTTCTGACCATCTTCAAGACAATCAGCAAAAAAAAGCTTACACCAGAGAAAGGAAACCACAGGGAGACGTGATGATGGTATTGAAATGCCATATGATGCCAACTTGCAAGATATTCCAAAAGGTCACAGATAGACTGATACAGTTGTCGGCGATAATGTTGAGGTTTAACATTTTTTTAACCTCTTTAGTATATATTTATATCTTCTGTTTGCTCTTATTCGGATTAATCATATATAAAATAATTTTGTAACATTGTGAAATACAAGTATATACAGAATAAGTCAGTATTTTTAGTTATCTTCATCCTATATGCATTTGTATTTTCCTGACTTTATTTCTACATAATTATTGTGCTCTTCGCATGTTATATCTACATGTATTCATATATATTACAACATGATACTTGTATTCATTTAAGCTTCCTCTATATAGTAATGTTATAACTTCCCGTTAGATGCATTTAAATTCTGTCCAAAATATGTAATGTATTTATATGTATTCAGATGTATTCTTAATATGTTGTCCAATGTATTTAAATTCTCCACGTAAATACAGCCTCAGCAAAATACAAATTTAAGATCAAATATGTATTGTATTTATATGTATTTAACTGTATTCATACAGTCAGTTACTAGACTAACATTGATGCATATGTCTAACAGAATACAATGGTTAATGCTCTTTGTGTGGAGTCAAGAGTGGAGGGGAATACTACATCAGAGGTGCCGTGAAACATACCACCTATAGGCCAAGAGGGTGTGTCTACAGATTACTATGTATCTCAATTTGAGTTGGACGACAAGTTTCTTTCCAATCAAATTCCAGAAACTAGAATTGTGATGCACAACAGTGCAAAAAAAAGTTGAATCAACCCCAGTACCATCTCATAGGAATCGTCGACCATGTAGATGGTATTCTTCGCCTTACGAGTCTAACTTCGACTCCGCAGGTTAGTATTTTATAAACTAATGATCTAATTCCCTATGGTTTTTATAATTAAAAGTCTCTATTCATGAATTCAATGAACAACAGGTACCTCAGTAAAGTTGACCCCCATTTTTGAAAAAAGATACCCCTTTGAGGATGATTCAATAACGAGTCCGCATCCTACATTAATCATTCAGAAATACGACAAATGGGTTCGTGATGGTCTTCTCGCTAGACATGGACAGAAGTGAGTTTTTTTCCGGTATGTCTATTACGTATTTATATTTTTAAAAATGGATATAACGTTTTTTTATATCATACTTGTAGAAGTAATTTGGAAGACCATTACAAGAAGAACAAGTCAAAACTTCATATACCATTGGATTTTGGAGTTGATCAAGTCAATTCAAAAAATTGGTTTTACCTTCTATCGTTTGACGGTAAACTATGGGATGACAATGTAAGTTTTACCCCTTCCAACTCCACAATAATTCATTTATTTAGTATTGGTTTGTCTAATTGTATAATTCGCAAATTGAGCTCTCACCCAAATTTGTCTTACATTACTTTTATGTATTCAATTGTACTCAAATGTATCTTTTACATCTGCTGTATTTAATTGTATTCAGATGTATTTTAACATTACTCAGTAGTTGTAAATAAAATATGTATTTAACTGAATCTGTATGATATATTTAATGGCATCATTATTCTTGAATAACTGTTGTATTTTGTTCCATTCAGATGTATTTTAAAAGTTCTCAGTATGTTGTAACTAACAGATGTATTTCAGTACTATGTATTTAATTGCCTCATTAGTCTTGAAGAACAACATATATTTAAATGTATTCAAATGTATTTTAACATTACTCGGTAGTTGTAAATAAGAGATGTATTTAACTGAATCTCTATGATGTATTTAATGGCCTCTTTATTCTTGGATATCTGCTGTATTTAAGCGTATTCAGATGTACTTTATTGTATTCAGATGTATTATTCTTGAATCTGTGTGATGTATTTAACTGAGTTTTCACTTACCATATTCAGTTTCTTTTTCTTAATTTGATTAATTGCACTAACACTATGTCATTAAATTTGTGTATAGCGTATTGACGTCATATTCTACTATCTGAGAAAGAAGGGAAAGTACAACCAAACAAGCAACTTCAAGCATACAACTGTTGATTGTATATTCAAGACAAGAATCGCTGAAATCTTCGACAGTTATGCTGATACAGATAGTAATGCAAATGTAGCCAAAGAAGAGGATGTGGTATGTGAGTACATAAGGGGCTACAGATTGCTAGCTAATGTACCTTGGCATACTGTTGACAATGTCTTGATACCAGTCAACTTGAAGGACAAACTACACTGGATATTGGCTGTTGTCTCATTCAAGGAGAGATGTATCAAAGTGTATGACTCGTACAGATCTCCAGGTCATGATGCCTATGTAGCTTCTGAGATAGATAAGCTAGCTAAGCTTGTACCTCTGTATCTATCAATCAGTGGCTTTTACAGAGATAGTCAAGGCATAGATTGGTCTACTTACTCAGCATACACTGACAAGTCACATACCGATCCCTTTGAAGTTGTTTTCATTTCAAATCTGCCACAACAAAAAGCTGGGAGCATGTATTAAATCATCATTCTTGTATCATTTTAAAACTCTAATTGTATGAATTATTTTTAATTGTTTCAATCAACATTTTTCAGGGATTGTGGGGTGCATGTTGCGGCATACGCAGAGTTTCTGAGCACTCTTGGTGAGATTCCACAAACAACATTTGATTCTAATCTACTCCGTCAAAGATATGGTGCTCTCCTCTGGGACTATGCTATGCGGAAGATAGACGCTGATGCCATAAGTGAGAATGAAGCACCCTCAAAGATTGCTAGGCAAATCGCGAGTCAGATTTAAAGTTATAGATACTGTTAGAGTAGCTTTAGGTGAATGTAGTTTTGGAATGTTGTTTTAGGTGAATACTGTTTTTTTGAATATCTTTTTGACAGAAGATGGTCAGTTAGAAAAACCAATGTTTTAATCACTTTATCAACAGTGTTCATGTATGACAATTGCAACTTTTCAATCTATGTTTTATTGTTTTGTTCATAAGTATTCATGCTTAATCTACAGTTTCTACTCGTATGTATCTTACAGGATATATTCATACGTATTAAACAGGGAGTATAAATGTGTATTAATATTAAGTCACTTGGCTTATATATCAAAGTCAGCAATCGTATGCTTCAGGTTTATACGTATGTACTCAACTTGATGTATGTATTTATTGAAATTGTTATTCGAATGTATATGTTGACAAGGTTGTATTCGAATGTATTCAACACAATACTTACTCAGGTTATATGTATTTATTGAAATTGTTATATTATAGCTGAGTATATAATTGTATTTTGATGTATTTTGATTAGTTATGTATATACAACTCAGGCACTGTCTATAATAAATTGGCTAAGTATATGTTGACAAGGTTGTATTCGAACGTATTCAACAACAATACTTACTCAGGTTATATGTATTTATTGAAATTGTTATATTATAGCTGAGTATATAGTTGTATTTCGATGTATTTTGATTAGTTATGTATATACAACTCAGGCACTGTCTATAATAAATTGGCTAAGTATATGTTGACAAGGTTGTATTCGAATGTATTTAACATAATACTACAACTAAATGTATCCAGAATCTATTCAAGAAAGGCATTTCAAAATTTATTACTTCACAATGTCATCAGAAGTAATAACAAATCGTTGGAGCACTAATACATGTCAGAGTGTTAACTAAATCCTACGTGGAGCATTTCTACACGTTCGCTTGTTATGTCCTCCCTGCCCACATATGCTACATGAATGTTGATTTTCTAGCTGCAGCAATTCACTCAAAGGTTTATCGCGCTTCTTCTTTGGCCTTCCAGGAGGTCTTTTCTATTTGGGTGGTAATACAACTTCCTCTGCAACATGTGCTGGTATATTCCAGTCATTTCTGTCCGGTAGCGGGTGCACAGGCACATCGTATGTCATTACAACAGAATTTGGTTTGTAATAGTTAGAGCAATAATCTTCTGGCATTAGAAACTTGCTCTTCAATACAACCCAAGCATGTGGGCATGGTAATTCATCAACTTGGAACCTCCCACAAACGCATTTTCTCTCTAACAGGCAGACGGTGTAATGCCTCCCTCCATCGTTAACCGTATGTAAGTATTCAGTCGATGGTACCACCTACATTTAAACATAGACCTACAAGTTTTGAGCACATATAAATGATTTCTTTATGTATAATCATGAATTATTCAGTTAAATACAACTGAAATGTTTGAATACAGAAGAATACATCATATATGTAGACCGGCAGACTATAAACTATAATTACGTCTTAGCTTATGAATACAATGATATACATCAAAAATCTGCTTAACTTTAGGCAGCTGAAAAGAAACAAAAACATTATAAGGCTACTGCATGACAATACAACTGAATACGTCTATCTAAAAAATTCTGTATAAGTTATTTCAGAAAACAATTAAGCTATCTAAAAAAATAGCTTAATTTATGATACAATGACATTAAAATAAAACTTACAGTCATGCGTGTAGACATTGCCTCATTCAAAGTCAGCATCTCCTGGTATTTTTTTCCAAGCGTTGTGTATGTCTGTGTAGCTTCTTTGCGGTTACTGCAATTCCAACGTCCAAACATCTTCCTAACTTCTTCGAGGAAGTCGTATATTGGCAATTCCCTTGCTGACACTAGTGCGGCATTTATTGACTCAGCAATATTTGACGTCATGGTCCATCCCCTGTTAACAGGTGCATACAACCTAGCCCACTTTTCGTATCCAGCTAACTCCAAGTATTCTTTCACCCTAATATCTACCTTCTCCACCTTCTCCATCAGACTGTCAAATTCAGCTTGTGTGTATGCTTTTGCCATCGAGAAGTATATTTCCCTCAACTTTGCATGGCTCTTTTTGAATTTCTTATATACGTTGTTCCATAGATGCCATATACAGGCAAAATGCGGTACATCTGGATACACTCTCGATACAGATTTAATGATACTCTCATTTCTATCTGAATGATGCACATGTTTTCCCTGTCACCGTATGCTATCTTGAATTGCTCAAAGAACCACGTCCAAGCAGCATCGTTCTCTGAATCGATAACACCATATGCTAGTGGCAATATATGACCTGTAAAGACAATTGAATACATATTTTTAAAACATGTATTTCAATCTTTAAATATTAACAGAATTTATTATAATTCAAGTACTCACCTGCACCATCCAACGTGCTTGCAGAGACGAATGTCCCGATGTAGTAAGATTTTAGGTGACTTCCATCCACAACCACAATGGGTCTACAATGATCAAACCCCTTTATAAAGGCATACAAAGATATATACACATACATGAACTCATTTTTTGGCGATTTTACCATTCTGATGTGCGAACCTGGATATGTCATATCCATTGTATATAAGTATCCTGGTAATTTTTTGTATGAATCAGTCGGTTCACCTCTCAAAAAATTAATTCCCTTTTCTTTAGCCTGCCACGCCAATATGTAGCTAACATCTACACCTAAATCTGATTTCACATCATCAATAATATCCTTTGTGGTGTATTTCCTCTTATGATTAGTAAGCTTAGGCCTAATCATACCACCTATAATGCTGCTACTTGCCTGTCGCTGCTCATACACCTTGTCCTTCAGCGGACATGTATAGTTATCATTTAACTCTCTCACTTTGAATAGTTCTGATTTGTTAATGCTCGAAGCCTTAAACCTCCATTCAAAATCTTCTGACATACATAATAATGCATAGCTGCAAAGAATTTATCATTGTACATATGATTAGCATAAATGTTTACCAAAAATGCACTCAAATACACATGAATACATTCTGACATGAATACATTCTGACATCTATATATATATATATAAATTATTATACAACTGAATACAATTATAGTTATATGCATTTAAATACAATGAATACAACTGAATAAAATTATAGTTATATGCATACACTTAAATACAAACAGTAAACAAAATAGGAAAATAATTAGAGCCACTGTAATATAATTATACCAGTAAAATACATATGAATACATGTGTTTAAAGACCATAAACAAACAGATGTTAAACACATCAGTGAAGATCAAGTGAAAATCCACAAATACGCATAAATACATCAGCGTATAACTTACAACTCCAACCAATAATACAATATACAAAAAAAAATTAAATACACTCAAACCTGACAGCATTAGACCTATCAACCCGGAATTGAAACCTTTGAGATATAGCATAATTCTCCATCACCTCTTTCAATGTAGCCTTATCCTTATATACTTGTCCAACCATAACCTCCCTTTGATTAGTTTTTGAAATTATCAAATCCTTGTCCAGTTCAAACCTCAATTGCTTCTCCTGAATTGACAAAATCTAGAGCAAGCGTATCATCTGTACCGGAATCATACCTTTGTAGTGATTTGTCTATTTGCACAATATCACCTTGAATTAAACTACCACTGGATACAAGTTCTTTTTCAATCGTTGTTATGCACAAAGGATACATCCCGAATTCTCTATTCTCTTTTTTCAACTCTACATACACCCTGTAACCCATGTCATTGTGTATTTCCATTGGCGTGCTATTCCCTTCTACTTTGTATTGAATTTTTATGGACTTTGAGCTCAAATCTATGCCCAGTTGATTAGAACTTGACGCAACCAAATCATTATACGACGCATACTCCTTTATTAGTATTCCCTCAATTAAAAAATCGACGTAATTTCTCTCATCGTTCCACTTGCCAGAATGATGCAACAACACTGTTAAACTTGCCATATGTATAATGGAATTATACCGTATTTTGTATACAATTTTATCAATCGCACTTTTCCGTGGTTGAAAAGAGAATTGGGTACAGAGAAAAGGGAGAACTCAAATTCCAGATGTTGCTCTTGTTTTTGCTATTTTTCTTGTTGAATCGTGAATGGAGGAATACAGATTAATGGGTAATAGTTTGTGTTAGTTGAGTTAAATTAGGAAAATATCAGGTGAATTGATTTCCTTTCCGTTTTAAACAAGTTCAACCTTCCATATTTTGTGCTCAATACGTTACTGTATTCACGATAAGGCAGCGTGAATACACTCGAATACATCTCAAGCTTAGCTGGAATTCCCTGATTCACGCCTATTTTTGCTATTGTATTAATAAATACAATAGCTTAAATACATCAAATACATCTTATAACCACATAAAAGGTATCTATAATACGTAATATAGCAAAACGTATCTATAAATGGCTAATTACACCTAAAAAATAGTGCTTTATGAAAAATTCTCATCTCTTAATGGTGTGAGGCCTTTTGGAGAAAACCGTGCGGGCTTGGCCCAAATCGGACAATATCACACTATGTTAAGAGTATCTTTGGGCCGTTTTAGCCCACTGGTATCAAAACCCAGGTTCAGTGGGACGAGTATGGATATGGCGGAGTGATGGTGCGGCGCGGCATGTACACAAGAAGAAGCTAGTTGCGGGCTTCGGTTGCCATAATATTCTAACAATGTGGGTGGCACTTAATGGTGTGAGGCCTTTTGGGGAAAACCGTGCGGGCTTGGCCCAAAGCGTACAATATCACACCATATTAAGAGTATCGTTTGGGCCGTTTTAGCCCAACACAACTAATACGGGTCCGCATTATTATTTATATGTGAGCACGTGATTTTTGCCCTAAGCAGTAATTCCCAAAATTTCAAACAAAACAATTTTTTCGAGTATTTTATAATTTTTTTGTGAATTTTGTGGCATTCTTTGGTAATTGTCGCATTTTTATTTGTGCATTTTAATCCATATGAAAATACCAAAAATATGCATTGGCATTTAGGGATTTAATTTCACAATTTTAGTATTAATTAATTTTAGAATAAAATGTAAAGAAAATTGCAAGAAAATAGTTCTTTGCATTGCTAATTATTGCATTTGTCTTTAAATAGAGTTATAAGTAATTCTAGGAGTTAAATAGTGTAATTAGGTCTTTACTTTGTTTTAACATTTTATAAAATCAGAAAAATAAATAAATACAAAAAATACAAAAATAGATAAAGGAAAAAAGGGAAAAAGAATTAAAAAGATGGTCTTAATTGGAGACCAAAATTGGGCCACAATCAGTCAGCCCAAACGAAATTCCCAACCCCAGGCCCAGTTTACCCCTGCCCGGTCCAATTGCCTCATGCTCAAAACGACGTCGTTTTGACGTCGTTTAATCACGACCATCTATCTCCCCAAATCCAATGGCCACGATTGACTCTCAGAATGAAATAAAACTGTCCGAATTATACAGAAAAAATCAATCAAAACAACAACTCCTCTTCCTCGTACCAACCCGTCCCCTGTACGCCGGTGCCGGCCACCCTCTCGCCCTAGCCCACCGTCCTCCGCCGTCGCCGGCCGGCCAGAAATCGCCGCTGCCGGCGGGCGATGCTCCGATCAACCCCAAAATCACACCCCAGATTCCTCTTCCTCCTTTACCTGAATCCACTGTCTTTGCTTTCAAAATCTTACTGGAACTCGTCGAATATCCGTTCAAAACTTTTTCCCGGCCAAGTCGCCAGTTATGCCAAACGGTTCCCAAATTAACACCATGGGACGCTTGACCTCCTTTACCCAACCCCATGGCCACTTACCTCGAATATGGCCGGAACTGCTCAATATCGAATCAAAAATTCGGCCAAAACCCTATCTCTTCCAAAACCTACCAAACTTACACCCATACTCCCCTCCCTCTCTTTACTGAATCCTAACCAGAATCTTTCGAAATGTTGCCAAAACTCTCGAATTTTAGATCTTAGACTGGCAAGAACCCTAACTCAGAAAATCTTGGGGATTTTGGACCGTAATTTCCCTAATCATGTGTTTCTTTGGAAACACACGATTGGGGATGTTACGTGTCAAGAATCCGGAGGATTCAAAACAAATGGCGGTCAGAGTTCCCTTGGTCAGTCGAATACTCTAATTCAGTAAGTTTGCTGATTACTTCTATTCTTGATTCTTATTTTTTGGGGTTCCGTATTTGTTCTAAGTTTAGTTACGATTTGTTTTTGAGCTTTGTTTGGATTTCATTCGTTCCTCAGCACCTGAACTGATTAGTAATCTCTTATGGTTGCTGTTAGTTAGCATTAATTAGTTTAGTTAGTCTAATTAGTAATCGTATTAAACAGTTCCATGTTTAGGGTTTAATTAAGTTTTATGATATGTTAATGATCTTCGTGGAGGTACTGTTCTCAGTCTTCATGTTAATTTAAATTTATTCAATAGGTCTAATTTTGTTTAGTTTAGTTAGTTGATTCATGAGTGGTCACTGCAATTTGTAGTTCATGGTTAGGTTGGGATTTCATGATTGGTTAATTGTGCAAAAATTCAATTTGGTGGGATCTTTTGGCTATAGCTGAGCAAGATAGTGACTAGCAATTACAGTAAAAGGGGTTCTGGTCTGGCCAGTAATTTCAGGAGGTTCAAAGGGTAGTATAGGCATAGAAAAGGGCAATTTTATTAGATTTGGTAATTCTTGAAGTGGGCTAAGGATAGAATAGGAATGTAACAAGTAGATAGAACTTCTAGGATGGACTATAGTGTAGGTTCTAATAAACTTAAGGTAGTTGCTTGTGTAACAAGTCAGAAAATAAAGGGTAAACATTGAAATTAGAATAGGGACTAAGGGGTAAGGGAAAAATCTGAAATTGGACCTAAGTTCACCTATAAATAGGCATTCATTTGCCTTGAGTAGGAGGTTTTTTTTTCAGCCATCAAAAAATCCCTTCTCTTCTCCGCAAGTTTCAGAAAATTGAAATCCAACTCCCATAGATCTCAGTTTTCTCAAAATTTTCCAGGAAACAATAGACAAAAAAAAAAATCAAAA